TATATATATATATAGGAGGGGGTTCACGGCCGTGAACAGGTTTGTGGCCGTGAACACCTTGTGAGTGATTTTCTGGTTCGAATCTAACCTTCTGATCTCAAGCTAACTCATCCTAGCATCCATTCATGAATTACACTAGGCTCAGAAACTCTCAAACAGACCCTTAACAGGGTTAAAAGGTAACAGAAACGAATCTTACTTTCATTGATCGAGATGACTTATAGATAGAGATTTCGGGTTGTCACATGTTATCTCCAAAGTTATAGCAAATACATACATTTGATATCAAAAACGCTTTTTTTTATACAATCTCTTTCAATTTACTGTATATATTCACGAACCAATGGGTTTTCATGATGCTTCTCATCCCGGTCACGCCTCATGTTTCGTAACAACATTTTGGTAATGTTGATAGCACCATCGGTTTCAAGCATCGCATCTGTGATCACTGCCTTTTTATATACAAACATGGCAATGATATAACGTATTTCTTACTTAATATCGATGACATATTCACCACCTACCACAGATCTTGATTGATGACTTCCAAGATAGGTGCATCCGGCAACCTCCAACTAAATCGACTAGGGGGTCTATTAGACATATCTTTATGTATTTTGTATTTATCTTATAGGTATTGTTAGGCTAGTCTATGGAATACTTTCCCTTTTTCCAAAATTTTGTTGTATGTATAAATATTGGACTATTGGTATTGTATGTATAAATATTGGTGCTTTGTTAACGAGAAGATCAACTTTTCCATTCTATCGGACACAAGTGTTTTCACTCTAATACTACAATCTAATAAACCTTAAGGACTTAAGGTAAGATATTGATACCTAATTTCGTGGATTCCATCAAACTTACAAACCAAATACAGTCCAATTAATTTTAACATGTACGTAATAAATGAAAAGTATTGTGTCATCACGTGCAAGTCATGAAAAGAGCTCAAAAGGTACGTAGTAGCATAAAGCCATGGGGTATGTCAGCCAACCCACCCCATCTACTCTTATCTACGCATCCAAACGAAATCTCCGAAATATCCAAACCCCCTCCAATCAAATCACCCCACGTCCCTCTTCTTCAATCTTCTCATATAAACCACACTGCTGACTACAAAAGCTCACCCCACCCCCACCCCCACCCCCTTCCCCTTTCACCTTTTTCAACCCCTCTACTATGATCACCAAAGCCTCCAAACCTTCTTCACGTAAAACTAGAACTAAACGCCGTAAACCCAAATACTTAAGCCTCCGTCTTCAGCTTATCACCACCACTCCACCACCAATGCCCACCACCACCACCACCCACGACCATGACAATAAACAACTCATCAATCTTTTCCCACTGCACCCCGAAAACCTAGTCGAACAAGATAAACTAGACGAAGAACATAACATGGCCTGTCTATTCTCGTCTTGTGATGACGACGGAGCTGCCACCACCCTCACCGGAATCCTGTGCTCCGACGACGAAGATGAAGAGAACACCAACAACCCATCTCCTTCTTCGGTTAACTACGCCGACGAGGAGGTGGAGCTTGTACGGACGGCGATGAGGAGGAATAAAACCGAGAGGGATCGTCATGAGAAGTGGGTTTGTTATTCGGAGGTTGTGGAGAAGAAGAAGGTGATTAGAGGGATGTCGTCGTCGTCTTCATCATCAACATCATGTAATCATACTAATCATCATCGGAGTAAATTAGTGTTGAAGCTTGATTATGGTAAAGTTATGGATTCTTGGGTCAACAAAGGTCCACTTTATATACATAAGAATTCGGATCCGGATACTCCACAACCGCAAACTGTACCCGATCTTCAAGATGATGACTTCTTTTTTCCATCTTCCACCTCTCTTAATGTGAGTTCCCTTCTTCCCTTTGCATTTCATACATATACATATACATACATACATATATGCATGTATAATTGTATACATGCAAGTAATCATTTGTGTGTGAGTTATACAACTTAGAAGAGTCATGATTAGATTGCATGTTATAATACATAATTAAAAGATCCAACATTTAGTTTTTTTCTAAATTTTTAGTCGACAAAATATATGTTTGCAATAATTATGGTCAGTTTATGTCATTTTCGTACAGCATATGAATTATTGTGGAATATTATTTCGATCATGCTACTATTTCATCGCTCAGTCTAGAAAATAGTGACAATTGATTTGACACTAAGTTTATTAGAATATTTATAATGTTATTAATTTTAACATGATTAAAGTTAAAGAATTTTTGTGTTACAAATTTGAAGTTACTAATTTTAAGCAATAAGGGTTGTCGGTGAATCGGTGTTCTGAGAATCTTGAATATTTTGGACTTAACCAGTCAAAGATCTGATTACATGCTTACATGAAACGATAGGCTTGTGCAATTTCCAAATGCGATTTATGTAAACGCTTTTTAATGTACATATGATGTTGCCTATTGTACAAGTAGCAATATAAAAGTTGTGCTTTTAGGAATTTGATCTCTGGAAATGGGTTAATTTTAACATGTGTGTCAATTGATGACTTGTGACCCCACCACTGTTGGCACTTTATTGCTCCGTAAAGTTGTACGGTACAAGTCCCTAGTGGAATTAAGTTTGTTCAAGTTAAGCTCCTCCACTTTTCAATATGTCGACAATGCACCCCAAAAGTTTGAAAAATTATTGTGGTGGTTATCATAGGACATTGTACTTTTTATTTCTTGCTGGTATAGTTTTATCTTTTTTTTTTCAATGCAATTCATATATATGTGGCTCATCTTCTCAATTTATTTTTTTTAAAGATTATATATTGGGGGTGGCAATTATCGTAATGACACAAAACACAATATACATTTGACATCTAAAGAAACGGGTATGGATTGATCTTAAGCAGGTCCAACACATTTTTAGGTTGATTCACTTAACCTGTATAATAAATGTGTGGTGTTCGGGTAGGTAGAGAGGTCATTCGGTCAACTCGCCAACCTTTTAATTATATTAAGTTAAAAAAAACATATTTTTCATTTTTTAATATGTGATGCCCTAAATTACATAACCCTAAAAATAAATCCATTTAAAACACCGACCAATCCTTGAACTCTTAGTCTCGTTCTCTCTCACATTTTGAATTTGTAATGCCATAATTCTAACCCTTTCCACATTCAATGACTCCAGATTGCAAGAATCGACATTTTTTAATATAAGATCTTCTAACAGTAACTTTTTTTTATGAATACAAGCTTTATTGATTTAAATTAAACACAAATTATTTATAAGTAGTTTGAAATAGGTTAATCACGAAAGAAAAATGATGTATACATATTCTTACACAACGGTGACCCGTGAACATAAATGTGACCATGAACATGATTATACCCATCAAACCCATATAGTTAAACATGTTATGTGGATCATGCCTATGTTTGAAAGATATGGATTATGTTGAACCATAATGTTTAATTATACACGTCATGTCCGAGTCATGTTATCTCATCCACCAACCCCCAAATTAGATGGAGTTTTCAGTGTACAATCTTTTACTATGAAAAAAGTAAAAATATTATTTTATATTAAACAAAACAATTTAAATATGTCGCTATTTTTTTTTTTTTTGCTTTTAACCTAATTTCTAATAAGATAACCTCTAAAGTCATGCTCAGATAGAGTTATTTAGACATTAATTTTGTCCATGTTACTTTGTAAAGTTGTAAGATACAAGCTCCAAAGACATTATGGGCACATTGCACCACATAAACTTGAAAAATAAATGTGTCACCATGTCTAATTCTTAACAGTAAATACATCTAATATTAAGTTTCTCATTATTGTTATGTTATGTATAGGGCATCACACATGATGAACGAGACAATGGTGGCAATGGAGGGTCATGGACAGTTCCCGAAATGACACACATTGAAAATACAGACATTGGCAGAGGAGAGGATGCATTACAAGCGGTGGGGTCCAGTGCAATGATTCAACATAGAGAAGCTAGTGTCCAGAGATACAAAGAGAAAAGACGCAACCGTTTATTTGCTAAAACCATTCGTTATGAAGTAAGAAAGTTGAATGCTGAGAAACGCCCTCGTATTAAGGTAATATATGTCTCTTTCTATATAATGTATTTTCTATTCTTGTTAAATAGTTTAAGTCTCGTTTTAATATCATTCTATTTTTTTTTATCGTTTTAATTTGCAGGGAAGGTTCGTGAAAAGAAACTGAATGAGATACTTTTTATTATTTTTCTGAGTTACAATTTAACTTAAAGACCTCCTTTAGAATGGAATTACGTATTTTGGACAATGTACATATGTATTTGTATTTCAAAATTAAAATAATAATGAAAAACGTTACATTTTATTAATAAAACTTATAAATTGTCACATTCTTACCAGACAAACACAAAGAAAAAAACAATAGCAAACGTGTTACATGAGCCATCAAGCTTCCCATTCGGCAAAATGAAAACCAGCCAAATTTGAGAAATGGGACCACGAGGAATTATTAGTACGAGAGCATGAAATTTAATTTAAAATAAAAAAAGTTTTTACTTTTTGCAAATATTACTCTTTTTATATGTTGGAGGCATTAGGGATGAAGATGAGATGAAACCGGTATTCGAGATTCTCGAATACCGAATCGTGTGGAAAGTCGATATTGATAACTGAAGAGAGAACTGACATTACAGGTATCGATACTGGGAATGATACTAGGTTTTGGTACTAGTATTGGTTCCGACTGTATTAATCCCGAATTTCGTGATTTTAAAATACTGAATATCGTCTTATATTATCATAAACGGTGTAGATTCGATATCAGTAACGGTTTGATAATGATTTAGGTTGGAAGTTTCAGTATTTTTGCTTCCCCCTAAGAGGTAGGTCAAGTCACATAGATTCTTTAGAACTATTAAAATGATTTATTATATCACATGGTTCTTGATGATACAAATATAGTTGACACTTGTGACTTCAACTACCTTCGATTCTATTTAAACGATATTATGCTAGATGTTATGTTTTATACAAATAGATGGATTCATTTTTGTTAGGTTAAAAACAGTATCAAATATTATTCTTATTGTTTAACATATTATTATAATTACGTACTTTTTTCATTTCAAAACATAAGTTGGTCATTGAACTAAAAGAACATACATGAAAATATTTAAAGTTTCGATGAGGTATGGCAACTAGGCCTTACGAGATTAAGTTCTTCAAGATATAATTTATCCCCAGAGATATTTGGTATGCATGTGATTGGACTTTTAAAGATTATATACGTTTAAGTATCATCCAATAAACAATTAGAAGTGCATCGACAAGAAAACACCAAAACCATGCTTTACGTGTTTACTTGGGTTTATATGAACTTGATTAAAAAAATATAAAATCATGAAGTATAATTTAAATTTATGATATAGTTTATTTATAGCTAGAAGCTACAATTATAAATATATAAAAAACCAAATTCTCATGTGTCTAGATTTGCTGTAGCTAAAAGTGCCAATTTGTATGCACAATGTACAAGTTATCATAGCAGCCAACTTTTTTATCTCCAAAAATCGAATTCTCATAAGTATCTAGAATTAATGTAATTGCCTATTTGTATGCACGATGTACAAGTTATCAAAGCAGCCAGCTTTTTTTTTTTATCCCCATTTACTATGTCGACTTCTTCAACCTTCTTTATTAAAATAATTTACATATTTGACTAATTTATACATTATATAAAAATATAAATTTCATCCTACTTTAGAATGTAGACATGCAAATTAATAAAAAAAAATTACTACACCAATACTATATTGTATTTAAGAAATACTCTAAAATCTTGACTTTTTGCATTAGAAAAAAATTGAAATATATATGGATCATGTAAGATTAAAACGGTATGGTGACCATTTCTTATATATATAAGAATTCAAGAAAGTGTGATATTGAATCAATTGTAACTCCAAATACACAAAAATATACTACGTAATAACCCTCGGTAACGCGTGGGTTCACTTACTAACATCATTTTATAAGTTTCAATTGTTCAAAACATAAATGGGCCATGTGTGTCCCTTTGTTGTTTGTATAGTTGCATGCGAAATTGTGAATAGTGGGCGTCTTAAACTTGCAATAAAAGCCGTTTTATTAGTTTTAATTGTGATAATGGGCTTTGCAATTCTGCAATATAAGCGGTTTCATTAGTTTTAGAGAAACTGCTAAAAATGGTTCCTACGGAATTGTCCCTTTGTTGGTTATAGCTAGAAGCTATAAAATCATTTTATAAGTTTTACATGTTCAAAACATAAATGGGCTATGCTTGTCCCTTGCTTGTTGTTTGTATAGTTGCATGCGAAATTGTGATTAGTGAGCTTTTGAAACTTGCAATAAAAGCCATTTTATTAGTTTTAATTATGATAATGGGCTTTGCAATTTTGCAATAAAAGCTGCTTCACTAGTTATAGTGCTATAATTCAATGGTAATGTTGAAAGATAAATTATGTTATAGGATTCTCTATTTGGATGACCAGGGTTGCGAGCCCTATTCTTTGAATATATGAGATTGAGCTAATAGCTAAAGAGGTTAGGTTGTTAAGTAGTTGTGATATGGAGTTTAATTAACCTAGTGACAAACAGTTACTAAGGTTAATTCCTAGTGTATTGGGACAAGTCCTAGGAACTTGGTATATAATCCAAATAGATTTTGGCAAATGGTTGACTTGTTGAACAACACAGATTAGAGGCCAAAACAGAAGTTACTTTTCACTAACTGGCCATGTGAGTGGATGTGGAGATTTTGTGAGTTTGTAGCAAATGAATTTTTTGTGTATGAATGTTTGATATTAAGTGTTTTAACGCTTAAGTGATTATCTTCTCAAGTTTAGATTAAAAAGAGCATTGCTAGTAGTTTTAGCATACATTATGTTTATTGGTTACATATTATTGTTACTAGTTCTGATATGAAAATTTTAGCATGTCATACGGTTGATACCAATTGTTGGGACACTTGATATTATTATGTGTACAATTGTAAATGAGCTTGTTGGGACAGTTGATATACTCCACAATGAATATTGAAGATTACAGTTTGGGATACATGACAATTATCTAGATTTTATTTCATGTATGTACTAATTGTCAATGAATGTATTCGTGATAAAGAAATTATTGACGTGTTATGGTCACATGTCACTTAATGTTAGGTTATGATTATAGTTCTTAGGGTCGAGGGTGTGGAGCATGGCATGTCATGCTGCCACGTTATCTTTAAAGCCACTCCGTGCTTGTCATGTCAATTTTGCCACACAACATAAATGACATGCCATTTTCAAGTGTTGGGTCAAGTTGGTAAAAGTAGAAAAAAAAATTAAAAAAAATTGTCATTGTGTTAGTTGTTCATTAATTATTAGTATTAGAAAATTTGATCAAGATAACTAATCACATTATAATTCAGTAACCAACTAATAGATCCATTGCACTATTAACGAAGTTAATCATGATTTTGAGAAGTAATCAAATCTAAACTTGAGTACCTGAAGTGATTCGTTTCCTATAAGTTTATATAGTTAGCTTAGTTTAGTTCAGTTTTATAAATAAAACCCCCTCTTTTATTGCTTTCGTTTATTTAGTGTACCTTATAATCTAAAACTTCAAATTAATTCAATACCGTTTCCATTGAGTTTGAAACCCTTACTTATCAAAACCATACTATACTCGATCGGGTTTACTGCCTGTAAGGTGTGGTTTAGATGCGATAGACTGGAATTATAAATAAAAAAAGTAGTGCATTAAAAATAACACATCAATTTTTTGGCGTAGTTGTCGGGGAACAGTTTTCAATTGATTTGGTTTGTTTGTTTATCGTTATTTGTTTTTAATTATTAGTTTTAATTTATTTTTATTTTTATTTTTATTTTCGTTGATTTATAGTCAAGAAGGTTTTTGTTGTTTTGTGCAGGGATTCGTGATCATACGCATTGTTTGATTTATCTTTTTTCATGGGTTTCGATATTGCAAGCGATTAGGGAAATCTTGACTTATTTAGTCTACTACTTTGGTGATTTGTCCAACTCAATCCTCGAGGCGTAGTATAGCAAGACGTATCGTGGTGGTTAAGTGGAAGACCGAACTCTTGCTACTCTTGACTAGTTGGGTCAATTATTGTTCTACTTATTAGTTAATGGTGCAAAGAAAACAAAGGAAATAGCCTAGCAGGTCCCGAAAGTTTTTGTTTTCCCAAACCACTTCTTGCATGTGAAACATGCCAAAATTTTCAATAATTTTAAACTATTCAAAACGGTTCTTTTACTAATAAAATGTTTACAAAAATCGTGTTCTCAAACATTATTTGAAAATCAGTGCCTCCCAAGATCAATGACATGAAATCAGGATGTGTACGGTCATGTCTTCGCCTTGTCACGAATCTCTGATACACCTGAAACCATAAACCAAAATCTATAAGCACAAAGCTTAATGAGTTTCCCCCAAAGTACCAACACACAATATGTAACACCCTGTTCTGAAAGTATCCGCTTATGAATTTCAAAGGCCAAGGCTAGGGGTGTTTTGGTCTTTTATGGGTCTTGGGTTTTATTCGAAAGGTTTTAAGGCTTGGGTATGTAGTCAGGAGCGTAGGGCTTCTCGCCACCTTTTCGTGGGTATAAAGTTCATCGGAAACGGGCTTAGAACGAAGGATTTATAGCACTTTGAAGTTATTGGCAATATTGGTCCTTAATGGAGAAAGATGGCAAGAAAGGACCATGCATGCAAGGTGGCCATCGCAAGAGTACACCCAGCGTAGGCTCGGGTATGCCCATCATATAAAGGAAAATGATCGCGGGTGCGGAGGAGCATACGCCCAGCGTACGCTCAGAGTTCCCAAACCCTAATTTTATGGTTGAAACCTATATAAAGAACCTTATGTCTCGAAGGCCAGCCTCCATTTCCACCCTACAGGAGCTACTACAAAACCCTAATCCATATTTGAGTGTTTTGGATCTTAGAAGGTCACTAGAGAAGCATCTTGGTGTTGTGAATCCATTTTCCAAACAAGAATGGAACAAGGAAAGGTGGTGGTTCAAAGGAGAGGTTGCAGATCTGGGATTGTAGCTTCATTTCTAGCCATTTCAAGGTATAAAGATCTAAACTTGGTGATTATCTTCTTAGATCTCTTAGATTGAGTTTTTGGACCATTTTGGTCCAAAGGTTGAAGCTTTGTGGTTCAATCCGATTTCTAGGACTTGGAGTTGCTACTCTCTATTCTATATGAGTCCCTAAGGCAGAAAGTTGCCATCTTGAATATCTTATTGGGTTTATGCATGAGTTAAGAGCATTTCTATGTGAATGGAATATCAT